TGACTCCCATTTTAGGCCAATTACATTATTCCAGTCAACCAAATTCTTAGCTGTTTCACTAGTATTACTTCTGTTCTATCGATTGAGCACAAGAAATCGCCAAGTCAACTGTTTCAACTACCAAATAAAGTGATCGGAAATTGGTAATTTGGCCAATTTAATGCAAAAGTCAAAATATTCCAGTTTCACAATAGGGTCAAGAATAAACAATGCAGGCATTCCTGACACTAAATTAACATTTCCTCTGTTCATTTATGTTTTCAAGCTTTACAAATGACTTCCATTGTGATTTTTTATTCACATAATGAATTTTTATTCAAACAAAAAAATAGAAGGTTTACTGTTATGCAGTATTGTAATAATAGTACAGTGGATGATAGTACAGTGAATGATAACGAATTCCCACTCCCGCCAGCATACTCCACCAATTTTCAAAAGTCTAAATCTGCTCACCATTAAGAACATCCATATTTATTCATGTGCCTACTACATACACAGAACAATACACACAAATATAAACCCTCCACTCAAACTTCTCACCAACCTAAACAGGACACATGACCACAACACAAGACACAGATCTCTTTTTGATATACATCGTGTCCATATCACACTGTATAAAAACTCTATGCACATATAGGGCCCCAAAATATGGAATTCATTACCAGAAGATATTAAAGTAACCCAGTCTGAAAATCAATTTAAGACTCTTCTCAAAAGCCACTTAATCACCTTAGACTAAATGCTAAACACTCAGTATACATTTACTCACCTATGTACTCCCACATCATATCTGAAACAATCACATTGAACCTTTTATCCATTGTTGACATGAATATAATTGAATCATTGTTTTTCACAAAAGCATTTTAGAATATAAATACGTATATCTTTGTATTATACAAATTTTGATTCATTAATATTCTACTGTACAACTATGAAATAATTACTTTCCTACTGTACAACTATGATATACAATTTCATAGTATTAAGTAGAATGTAAGCCAATAATGTTAAGTTGGCCCGTAATGCTAAGGCATAATAGAGGCTCTCTTTGCATTGCATCCCACTTGTGTATACACAATCTCAATAAATAAATAAATAAATAAACTTACGATATTAATCCGTTCCAGAGAGCACATCGTAAGACGAAATTATCGTAAGTCAAATTAATTTTCCCCATAAGATACAAGGGAAATCAAATTAATCCGGTCAAGACACCCAAAGTATGAAAAAAAAATATCTTAGCACATGACATATGCATTTTCCTAAACATAAAAAGAAGGATGCATGCACAATATATATTGTGCATGTACTAGTGTGCTAAATGAAGAATAAATGACACCTTTATTAAAGATGTGGTGATGAGTGATGAGACACTGTTTGTGTCCTGGGAGTGCCTTTTCCTCCTGAGTAATGTAGGTCCTGTTTGGCATTTTCTTCCAGAACAGGCCTTATCACACTGTGTATGCCACTATGATTCTTAAATCTCTCAAACCAATCTTTGCTGCCCTTAAATTCACCAATATGAGCACTAGTTCCAGGCATTTTTTCCTGTTCACCTGTGTGTGGGTTGCATCCTGGGGGACAAGATTAAGGACCCCAACGGAAATAAGTTAGACAATCCTCGATGACACAGTGACTTTCTTGGGTTATCCCGATGGCTAACCCTCTGGGGATAATTGTTTCTCGGTATTCTCGATAAGCCACACCAGCAACAGTCTCTCCACATCTTCGAGTAGTACAGCTGATCGTGGTGCAGCAGCAGCAGCTGACTGTGCTACAGCAGCAACAGCTAACGGTGCTACAGCAGCAGCAGCAGCAGCTAATGGTGCTACACCAGCAGCAGCAGCAGCAGCTGACTGTGGTACAGCAGCAGCAGCAGGTGATGGTGCTACAGCAGCAGCTGACTGTGGTACAGCTGCAGCTGACTGTGGTACAGCTGCAGCAGCAGCTGACTGTGATGCAGCAGCAGCTGACCGTGGTACAGCAGCAGCAGCTGACGGTGCTACAGCAGCAGGTGATGGTGGTACAGCAGCAACTGACCATGGTGCAGCAACAGCTGACTGTGGTACAGCAGCAGCTGACGGTGCTACAGCAGCAGCTGACCATGATACAACAGCAGCAGCAGCTGACCGTGGTGCAGCAGCAGCTGACAGTGGTACAGCAGCAGCAGCTGACCATGGTACAGCAGCAGCAGCAGCTGACCATGGTGCAGCAGCTGACCATGGTGCAGCAGCTGACCATGGTGCAGCAGCTGACCATGGTGCAGCAGCTGACCATGGTGCAGCAGCAGCTGACCATGGTACAGCAGCAGTTGATGGTGCTACAGCAGCAGCTGACGGTGCTACAGCAGAAGCTGACTGTGGTACAGCAGCAGCTGATCGTAGTGCAGCAGCTGCTGATGGTGGTACAGCAGCAGCAGCAGCTGACCATGGTACAGCAGCAGCTGACCATGGTGCAGCAGCAGCAGCAGCTGACCATGGTACAGTAGCAGCTGCAGCTGACCGTGGTATGATAGTATTTCGATAGTATTTCTCACGCTTTTTACCACAGGGATGGCACTAGAAGCTTTCTTTGGGCCCATAGTGGCTTGTTTAGCAGTTATAAGCACTAAAAACACTGGAATAATACAAAATTTATCGAATGTATGCATGCAACAATCCGCCCTGGCTTGTAAACAATGTCACACTAGCTCAGCTGAGGCGTTCAGGCCAGATGGACCAGATGGCTGCGATCGGGATGAGTGAGGTAAGTCGAGTTTTTCAACGTAGGTTGGGGTCAAATTTTTAAGCTGACAAGCATCATAAGTTGGTTTTATCGTAGGTTGAGGCCATCGTAAGTCGGGGGTCCACTGTATAAATAATATCACCACATTTGTGAATGTATATTAGACCCACCAGCTGGTGTGTATTAGACGTGTGAGGTCATTTGTTTACTCTTGAACATCAGCAAAAATTTAACATTTCCGCTACTTTGAGCTCAGTTTAAAGCCATTTTCAGTACTAAAACCAATCAAAATCATCTCTATTTCTGTAATATATCTTCCATTTTATCAAATGAGACCAAGAAATTGCAAACACAACTGTAAAAAAACACGAAAAAACACTGCAAAGTTGCTGTTTTAATAGAAAATTACGATCTCAGTTTTTTCTCTCATTATGCACTGTGTGCTGCAGGATTTGTTTTATTTGGTGCACACATACCACATAGATGTATTCTCTCATATCTAGGCCCAGATTTACCGCTCATAGCTTATCAGAGTGAGCTGAGCTCATGGCGTAGATCTACGGTTTGGACCCTCAACGTAAAGCCGTAGATCTACAGCACGGACCCTGAAAGGGTTAATCCTAGTTTGTAGTATAAATACCTACCTAAAACAATGCAGCCTTACACCAAATTTTAGCATTCTCATACTGTTAACTACTTTCAACAACTCACAATGTTGTAGTCCTATAATTTAATTTCAATATTCATTAATGAAACTATTGTAATTAGAATAAAACTAATGTCTGCTATAAACAAAGAAGAATTATACCCTAAACAAACTATGATCAATTCCTCTAGTATTAAGTAGTGTGTAAGCCATTAAATTAAGTCTGCCCATAATGCCTAGGCATGATAGTGGCTCTCTTTGCACTGTACCCCATTATTGTAATTTCATAATCTCAATGTAACCTTGCAAAGAAATAAACTTTACTTTTGTTTGTAAGACACTGAGCTTGATTTTTATCATTGTTACTGATTCTTTGTCATCACACTGAAGGCTCTTGACTCATATAATGACTCCAACAACATGCTCATTGGAGAAGCCAGGTATAGATACTTCAAAATCCGGGAAAAAGGAATTAATGTACTGTTGCTATGGGTCCCATCACACACTGGATCACTCCTTCATGATAAAATTGATACGTTATCCAAGAAGAGTACCCTGAAGGAGAATGTAGAATATAACTTTGGTATATCTGTGTCTAGCATCAGGAATACTATTAGGGGAGAATTAAATAATGAAAATGATTGTTATAGGAATGCAGTTAGAAGCCTGAGTAGATCTATAACCCACTATGATAACATGAACGTAGATAAGTATGTTTATGGAGCAACTTGAAATGTGAGCAGACTGACTGATGTTGTAGTGGCCAGGCTTAGGCTTGGTTACAAGTACTTCAGGCAGTTTGGGAGACACACAGATGATGATCAAACTAAATGTAAATTATGTGATCAGGCATAGGGTCACTGTCTTGAACACTATGTGCTTAATTGTCCACTTATTGAGGAATACAGAGACAGACAGTATAATAATCTATGTGACATGTCAAGATATCTTATTAATGAAAATTAGATACCAGATTTACTAAGCAAATTTCCTAAATTTGCTTGTAACAGATGAGTGAACTGTAGATATAAATTCAATTGTACTCCTGTTAACCCTTTTGGAGCCTAGTTCCTAGGCCTTTTGTGTATGCACAGTAAACTAGGCACTTTGGTGGCAAAATCTAATCTGTGTGTTGTATTGATAAAGCCACTGGATGGTGAAACGTCTACAAGTAAAGATACCAAGATGTTGCATGTGTCTTAATTCTTCATCTTGTTGGTATTATATACCATTCATATTCAAGGTGATTTTTATTGATAGGCATTTATTTTTGTACTAATTCAAGGATAGTTGGAGTCAGAGGGAATTTGAAAACTTTCAGTGTGAAAGATTTGGGACTAGTTCCTCTTAAAATTTTCCACGTGTATATTATCATGTATTTTTCCCTCGTCTCCCATTCCAAGAAGTGCGGATAGATTAGGGAGTAGTATAAGGTGAGTAATGATGTTCAAGGTTTTACATACATGTGAGGGTCAAATTTCGGGGTGAGTTAGCCACCTGGGATGAAATGAAAACTGATCATAATTTTTAAATGCATTTTGTGTACTGCATATATAGTATATGTATTCATGCAAGGTGTTTTACCTCCTCATGTTGCAGAAACACCTGCTCCAAGTGACACATCATGACAGAAGTGTTTCAATTTGGCATTGTACCCATCACCTTGTCATGCATGGAACAAGGACCGAACTCGTAAGTAACTACTGTACTTCTGCTTTATTACATTACAAAGCTTTTTGTACAATAAATTTATTATTTTTGTAATAAAAAATATATATTAAAGATTAAAGATTCTTTATTTTAGCATGATGCCTGTCTGTACAGACATGAGGGACTTTTTTGGTGTGCATGCAGAAAGCCCCTTAGTATGCAGAGCATTTTGGGAAAACTTAAGTCTGTCTTAAGACTACTAATAATTAATTGCTAACTATATACAGTCTCTAAGTGGTTGAAAACAATAAATTTGAAATTACAAGGAACACAAGAGAATTGAACATTGTATTGGAATGGGTGTTTAATTATATTAAAATCCGGGAAAAATATTTCACTGATACTTATTTTACATTACCATAGTCACTGTCCTAAGCCCACAGTATCCAAATTTAAAACAAAAATAAAAAATAAAAAAAGCTGAAATGGTAGAGAATTTTTTTCCTGATGATAATGAACACGAAAAATACAAAATTTGTGAAAAGCTTACGAAATTATACAGGTGTATTTTATGCATTGGTAATTTTGCCGACTTTGAGTCCTATTTTAAGCTAATTCCATTGCTCTGTTGGACCAAATTCTTATCTGTTTACTAGTATGCCTTATATTCTGTCAATTGAATCAGAAACTGCTCATTCAGCTATCAGAATACCATAAAAATTTGCCCAGAATTTAATAGTTTGGCTAATTTCATTTTTTTTTTTTATTATCACACTGGCCGATTCCCACCAAGGCAGGGTGGCCCGAAAAAGAAAAACTTTCACCATCATCACTCCATCACTGTCTTGCCAGAAGGGTGCTTTACACTACAGTTTTTAAACTGCAACATTAAACACCCCTCCTTCAGAGTGCAGGCACTGTACTTCCCATCTCCAGGACTCAAGTCCGGCCTGCCGGTTTCCCTGAATCCCTTCATAAATGTTACTTTGACTCACACTCCAACAGCACGTCAAGTATTAAAAAAACCATTGTCTCCATTCACTCCTATCAAACACGCCCCACGCATGCCTGCTGGAAGTCCAAGCCCCTCGCACACAAAACCTCCTTTACCCCCTCCCTCCAACCCTTCCCTAGGCCGACCCCTACCCCGCCTTCCTTCCACTACAGACTGATACACTCTTGAAGTCATTCTGTTTCCCCTCCATTCCTCTACATGTCCGAACCACCTCAACAACCCTTCCTCAGCCCTCTGGACAACAGTTTTGGGAATCCCGCACCTCCTCCTAACTTCCAAACTACGAATTCTCTGCATTATTTTTCACACCACACATTGCCCCCAGACATGACATCTCCACTGCCTCCAGCCTTCTCCTCGCTGCAACATTCATCACCCACGCTTTTACACCCATATAAGAGCGTTGGTAAAACTATACTCTCATACATTCCCCTCTTTGCCTCCAAGGACAAAGTTCTTTGTCTCCCCAGACTCCTAAGTGCACCACTCACTCTTTTTCCCTCATCAATTCTAAAGATTCACCTCATCTTTCATAGACCCATCCGCTGAAACGTCCCCTTTCCCCAAATATCTGAATACGTTCACCTCCTCCTACTCTCTCCCTCCAATCTGATATTCAATCTTTCATCACCTAATCTTTTTGTTATCCTCATAACCTTACTCTTTCCTGATTCACCTTTAATTTTCTTCTTTTGCACACCCTACCAAATTTATCCACCAATCTCTGCAGCTTCTCTTCAGAATCTCCCAAGAGCACAGTGTCATCAGCAAAGAGCAGCTGTGAAACTCCCACTTTGTGTGTGATTCTTTATCTTTTAACTCCACGCCTCTTGCCAAGACCCTCGCATTTACTTCTCTTACAACCCCATCTATAAATATATTAAACAACCACGGGGACATGGTTGTTTAATATATTTCATGCAGAATTTAAAAAATTGCAGTTTAAAAAACAAGTCCAAAATAAGCACTGTAGACATTTTCCCAAACACTGAAGTGACATTTACTGGGGTGTACTAATCATGTCTCCAGGCTCCTGTATTACACTTGCCTTTATTTGAATACATCACAAAAAAAAAAAAAAAGATTTACTCTATTTCTTGATAATAAAATATCTTCTTTCTTTCAACAAAACCGGCCCGTATCCCCCTGAAAACAGTTTGGCCCAAAAAAAAAAAACAAAAGTTTCCCTTTTTAACTTTATTAACCCTTTCAGGTCCAAGGCCCAAATCTGGAGTCACGCACCAGTGCCAAGAATTTTAAAAAAAAAAATTTGTTATTTTTTCTTATGAAATCGTAGAGAATCTTTTTGTGAAGGTAATAAAGCAAAAAGTACGAAAAATTTTGGGGGAAAATTGACGAAATTATGCTCCGCGAATTTTGATGTGTCAGCGATATTTACGAATCGGCGATTTGGGCCCACTTTGACTCCCATTTTAGGCCAATTACATTATTCCAGTCAACCAAATTCTTAGCTATTTCACTAGTATTACTTCTATTCTATCGATTGAAACACCCAAAAAATCGCCAAGTCAACTGTTTCAACTACAAATAAAGTGAAACGGAAAAATTTTTAATTTGGCCAATTTAACAAAAAGTTAAAAATATTCCAATTTAAAAAAAGGGCCCAGAATAAAAACAATGTAGGCATTCCTGGCACTAAACAAAACTTTTCCTCTGTTCATTAGTTATTTTTGAGGCTTTACAAATACTTTTCCATTTTGATTTTTATTCACATATGTTTTTTTATTCACACCAAAAAAAATAAAAGATTTACTGTTATGCAATACTGTAATAATTGTATAAATACATCACCATATTTGTGAAGTATTTTAGCCCCACCAGTGGTGCGTATTGACACGTGAGGTCGTTTGTTTACTCTTGAATTCGGCAAAATTTAAACATTTCGTACTTTGAGCTCATTTTTCAAGCCTTTTCCCATGCAAAAACCCAAATAAAAAATATCCTATTCTGTAATAGTCTTCCTTCTATCAATGAGCCCAAGAAATCGAAAATACAACTATAAAAAAATCGAAAAAACACGCAAATTTGCTGTTTTAATAAAAAATCATGATTTCATTTTTTTTTCTCTTTAACCGTGTGCGCAGATCTTTTTTATGTGGTGCACACATACCACATAGATGTATTCTCCAATCTGGCCCAAATGTCCACTCACAGTTTACAGAGTGAGTGAGCTCAGGGCGTGATCTAGGTTTTGGGACCTAACTTTAAACCCCCCCTAGATTACGGGACGGACCCTGAAAGGGGTTAATGTATAAGGAGAAGGGGTTTCAACCCCCTTTTTCCGACATTTTAGTCACCTCTTTGACATCATATCTTGGAAGAAAAAACTTTCCACTTTCCAGGGGAATAATAAAATATAACCCGGAAAGATTTTTCAGGTTTATGCTTATGGGTGCCATTATTACTTGGCAGATTTAACAAATGCAAAGAAAAATTTAAGAAAATATGATGATAAAACACAGCTAGGTTCCTGAGTCCTCCTCCTGCACGTGTTGAATGAACGGAGGCTGGGAGCGTGGTGGGGGGGGGTGTGAGTGGGTTTGGGGGGGGTGTCAGAGGCTTTCCCCCATTGACTCAGCGTTATAACCCCCCCAGGGCGACCAGGGACCCCGCGCCCCAAAAACTTTTCCCCTCCTGTGAAACGTGTCAAAAATTTATCATACATGTAAAAATTTTCGCAATTTTTCACTCGTGCTATACTCAAATGTGCCAAAAAAATTTTGCTAAATACGGTTACTGTATACTACAACTTTTAATTTAAAGCGCCCCCGAACAATAAATACATATACAGTAGTATTCATTAAATTTCACCTTTGTGCTGCAGGATTTTTTTTATACTGCGCACACTGACCCCCATAGACCCTTCTTTTATATGTCATACCACTTTTTCTTGCTAATTTGAGGGTGCTGAATTTATGCGTACTAGTACATCAAAAACCCCGGTGCGTAAGCGTATATTATTATTTTTTTTTATTATCACACTGGCCGATTCCCACCAAGGCAGGGTGGCCCGAAAAAGAAAAACTTTCACCATTCACTCCATCACTGTCTTGCCAGAAGGGTGCTTTACACTACAGTTTTTAAACTGCAACATTAACACCCCTCCTTCAGAGTGCAGGCACTGTACTTCCCATCTCCAGGACTCAAGTCTGGCTTGCCGGTTTCCCTGAACCCCTTCATAAATGTTACTTTGCTCACACTTCAACAGCACGTCAAGTATTAACCCTTTGAGGGTTTTCGTCGTACTAGTACGTCTTACGCGTAGGGGTTTTTGACGTACTAGTACGCATAAATTCTAGCGGCCTCAAATCTCGCGCGAAAAGGCTGGTAGGCCTAGGTGTGAGAGAATGGGTCTGCATGGTCGGTGTGCGCGGTAGAAAAAAAATCTGGGACCCAGTGGTGCATTGTGGGAATGCCCTCTTAGTAAACAATGTCCACCATGCCTCGCGGTAAGAAGCTCCTCACTCCTCGGCGAATTGGGACACTTTTGTTCCCCAGTGACAGTTCTAATAGTGATCGAAGTGCCAGTGAAGATGAGTTTCGTGGTTTTAGTGAGGTTTTGACCGAAACTAATGACCATAATATCGGTAATAGTGAAGAAAACCCAGACGACCCTCAGCCTTCCACCTCTGGTGCTGGGCCCTCGTGTTCACGTTCAGTTGTTCCAGAACCCAAGAGGAAACTTCTATTTTCCCAAATCCCAGACTCAGATGAGAGCATGGGTGATGATAGTGATAGTGAATATGAACTACAAGCTCTTCAAACTAGTTCCAGTAGTGATAGTGAAGTGCAATATTCCCCAGTGAAGCGTCAGTATATACGACGATATATGCGCTCTGGTAGTGTGCCATATGTTATACCAAGGGGAAGGAGTGTATCTCGGAGTACATCCCGTGGCTGTACAACAGGAACAGACAGTGAAAATGACGAAGATACTGTTGCAATTGGGATGGAAAATGTGCGTGGTGGTAGTGGTGCAGGTGGTGAGGCACCAGCAGTGGGCCAT